AAAAAAAAAGGCCCTATTCCCTATTACCAGTGCCGGGGAGAGCTGAGCTCCTTGAGAAGCAGACAGAACCCTGAAGCCGGGAGCCTGACCGTGGAGAAGGACAGGCGCTGATAGGAAGCAAGGCTGCATTTCCCAAATCCGGTGTTAAAGCTGTGGTCTCCAGAGATTTCCAAGTCATCTAATAGAGAAAAAAAAAGAAAAAAATTAAATGATTTCATTTTTTCAAGTTCATCTGTGAAGTTCTTTTGAAATTGGAAAATTGCGATGGCATTTTCTTCTGTTGACTATTTAGCACAAAAACAATACACTTCGTATTACAGGCAGCAATCATAAAAATGAAAACACGCGAACCTGGCGCCACTCTTTAATAATAAATACTTTAACTTTAAAATAATAGCTATTATCCTTTTAGCTAATGGAGAAATTACCATTTTTACTCTGCCGGATAGTTATTCTTTTGGTAATAGAAACACTAACCTTTTTTCTCCCTAGGGATTTATTAGTAAGCACGTGTAATCTTTGGCAAAAGGAAACCCGAAAATGCATTTCCCGGGGGACCCCGCGCCCGTCGATGCCTTTCAGCCTGCAGCTGACCTCGGGAGACCTGGGAAAGGTACTCATGCTCGCGTGCCCGTGCATTTCTGGGGTGCGCTGGCCTTTGCAAAATAGGCTATAGTTAGCTTCAGAAACAGTCTCACTCCTTTGGGGAAGGCTTCGGCTCTGTCTCTTAGCATAAAGCTTCTGGGAAGAAAAGCTCCTTTCTGACAAACCCCACCTTCCTGTGCGGTGCGGCAGCCTCGTCGCAGCCGAGGGCTGGACTCCCAGTGTCAGCGCGGGGCAGCGGGCAAACACGGGGTTTTGTTTCCAGGGAGGTGCTGATTTTCCTCGCACTCCGCTGGGTTTCTCCAAGCCCGAGGGAGATGCTGTTGGACTTACAGGCACCATTGTTCTCTCCCCAAGGATTTGACAGGAGGCCACCCCCAGGAGGATTTAAAAGGCAAGCAAACCCTGTAAGGGGTGGGCTCGGACAGTTCCAAGGACATCCCGAAGCACCTTTGATTTGGGACCACGTTCCCTGCCTGGCCGAGACAATGGATTTGGCAGATTGTTGGTCAGTGGCCCGATGGTCCATGATGTCTGGACGATCCCAGACAAACTGACGGTGACTCACGCACCAGGCCATGGCT